GACAGTCCTGGTTATTATCTCATATTCAGACTCGCCAACAGTAAGTACAAAGGGAGAGTGTGTCCTGAAGGATTGACGGGTTACCAGCGCACATCTGGGAGATCGAGGGGCGACATCCTATAGTCCAGTGTTTCTATACCGGCATTGACAGCAGCGTGTTTAACGGCGGGTTGGAACGGAAGTGACAATGGACAGCGAACTAACACCAGCTTTAAGAAGCCATCCAGGAAAGCGGCGACATTTTAAGAAGAAGCCCCTAATGGGCAGCCCTGGCTCCCGCAACTAAAACATGCAACAAACTGAGCCTCCGGTGGTCTACAATGTAACAATCATGTTGAGGTCAGCAACGGTAATTTGGCTACAACTGAATGCATGAGGATCCTACATACCCAGGTATCCGAGTTATCCGTTGGCAGCAATGGGATCAAGTTGGAGGACTATTCTTATCCCAAATGCACTTCCAGTTCATCCCGAGGTGGGCAATTAAAGCGACCGAACCCCTGCAACTCTCGTGGTGACTAGTGTTGCGTGCTTGTGGCTAGGAATGTTTGGCGCCGAGGCTAGCAGAGACGGCTCTTTCCCACGCAGTGTTTCTCCACCACATGAAACGCTCATAGGCGCTGTACAAAGCCCCGCATGCTCAGCCTCCTTTTCTTATAATGATCACGAGTCCCCAGACACACTGATATTCTCGACAACTACTTTCCGCAGAGTGGACATCAGGTGTGCAACAACAGCGTCATGGCTGATACCACGGATCAACACGGTACTACTCCCACCAGGAGCGCGGAAGCGACCCCATCTTCTATAAACAGAGATCAGCCTCTTCCTTCGGTCGAGTTTACCTTCTCCTGCAGCCCATCGTCCCCCGAATGCCTGACCCCGAATTCGTCCGTCGACGGCTTCAACTCAGCTATCCTAGAAGGTCGCCGATCCTCTATGACGCCAACCACGCGGCTGCTCTTTGAAGACCTCCATCTGAGCGATAGCATCTCTCCTGCAGCCCAACAGTCACCAATCAATCAATCAAGCATAGTTCATAACGATTCTGGCTTAACACCTACGCGCAGCGCCCATCGTACAACCTACCGGGATCTGCACAATTCTACCCCTAGCCCTATAGGTCCCTCTTATATACGACCAAGCCAACAACGGTCACCTACACCAACCTCGCCCTCGGGAGATGTCAGCTCTCATTTCCGGAATCTAAATCTGGGAGACGCAGATAGTTATGTTTCTGATTCCGACAGGAGCTCTACACTCGACAGTGAGGGGGATGCAGCGGAAGAAGATGATGAGGATGCCTACAACATTCGTCATGAGTCTCTTCCTCAGGAGCCTATCTATGATATTCGACTTCAGAATGCGCTGCGAGATGTCAGGGGTGAACTAATGAGTCTTACACAAATAATGAGCGGTAACGCCCTCGCCCACGATAATACTAGTGACTTGTCCAAGCTTTATGAGAAGACACGTGAAGCAAGTCGATTCGCTTACCCAGCGACACGCACGGTAGGCTTCATCGGCGACTCGGGTGTTGGTAAATATCGAAAAGATAGCTGATACACGTACGTTGAGAGGCTAATTCGTACGAACAGGGAAGAGCAGTTTGATTAATTCACTTCTAGATCAAGAGGGCTTGGCTCGGTCGGTGAGTTTGAAACAGATCATTATAATATACCTATGAGAAACTAACACCCGATGTTCTACCCTTCTCATAGAGCGGAGACGGTGCTGCCTGCACCACTGTCGTTACCGAATTCCGGAGTGTAAATGATACCTATCCAGAAAACTATACCGTTGTTGCAGATTTCATGGACAATGACGAGATCCGTGAGCTCCTCGAGGAGCTTTTATCGAGCATTCGGAAATACTACACCGAAGCCTTTCGTGAAGTGAGAACGTCGGAAGAGCAGGAGAATATCAAAGTTGCGGCCAAAAGAGCCTGGGACACCTTGAAATCCCTCTTTCCTCATGAGCGGGACCTGGACATTGACTTCCTTGCCCAGGAAGGAGATGAGGCCGTCGCTACAATTATGAGCACCTTGCTGGAGTGGGCCATGGCGGGCTTAGATACCCGACCAGGAGGGCGTGATAACCTACAGTATACGGTTGTGTCTCACCATGCGGATCAATGCATGAAGCATCTTGATAGACTGATGGCCAACGATGATGACGGTGATGATCCTGCTCTGTGGCCGTTTGTGAAGTTGGTCAGGTATATATCAGAAGTGATGATAAGCAAATGCTGCGTTATGTGGCTAATCTATATATAGGGTCTATTTGCGCTCGCCCGTTCTACGCACGGGTTTAGTTTTGGCCGACCTCCCAGGTATCTTACCGAGGTATTATAATGGTGTCATGCAGAATTAAGCTAAGAGCTCAATGTTCAGGATTTCGCGACTTAAACTACGCTCGGGTGCGAGCGACGGAAAGGTACCTACGCCACAGCTGCGACGAGGTGTTTATTGTGAGTAATATTATGCGATGTACAACCGATCAGTCAATAAGGGACATCATCCGTCGATGTGCGCGGGATCAACCTATCCGCATTGTGTGTACTCGCTCCGAGGTAAGTGCTTTTCGGATTCATTATCTAGGTGACATGAAAGTGACGACTGAAATCCAGGACGTCAATTCCGAAGAGACGGCACGTACCGCTCCTGCAGCAGATGCTGTACGTATCCGGAATATGAACAACCAAATCCGGCAGCTCGATCGCAGGATCGTGCAGACAGGTACTCGCAGACGAAAAGCGCACGGAAGTAAGATGCAGAGTCTCGCTGCAGAGGAAAGTAACCTCAGGTAAGTGGCACCGATGCACGATACTCCAAATTTTCGTATATCTCATTCATTACAGGGATCAGAAAGAAACTCTTGAGCTTCAGTAAGAAACCCTTCCGTTGGCTATTTTAAGTTGAGATACTAGTCTAATCTGAAACTTGCCAGGTTGATGAACTTCCTCGTCATTCGAAGAAATACATCTGTGACCAACTCTTTGTTGCATGCCTTGGGGGGAATGGCTCGCATATTCTGCGTGAGCAATAAGCTCTACTCTGACCATCGAGAGGACGATCCACGACAGGCCAATGGGTATTTGGCACTCAGTGGTATCCAAGAACTTCGACGGTACTGCCAATCAGTGCCGGCAGATGCGCAGTTCCGAGCCACGGTGTCTTATCTCCAACATGAAGTACCGGCGCTGCTGGGTTCTATCACGCAATGGGCCTTAGCAGGGACTAGCACCATGACTATGGCCCGGGCAGAAGTCTTGCGACGGGTCTTGACTGAAGCCGAAAGCAGTCTGAAAGGGGTACGGTAATTGTCCTAATATCCAAATGCACTTTGCCCTGTCTAGGTGCAGGCTCCCAAACTGCATCTACTATCTGCTGTTTAGTTATAAATGCCATGACTGCTAATTCGCGTAGAGCACAACTCGTGATGGCTCGCAGGTACACTCATTACAGAGTAGCCTCAGGAGGAAATTTTCCGATGCCATTACACAACAAATTCGTAGGCACCGACCTACAACCCAGTCATGAAGACCTAAGTAAATAACGCTTCATACAGGCCGAAGTCGACGTGATTGGAGGGACGATGCAGTCGAGGCGAGCTTGGAATGGGCAAATGTAAGTGGGACCCACGGTATCCCAAGAACATTCGTACCTAACTTTGGCTACCTGCAAGTGGCACCACATGACATATGCAGCGTTCTGTCGCAACTACGGAACGTATGAAACGGCAAAACAACCGCGTCGATGCTGGAACGAAGAGATTCTCGGTTCGGGAATTGACCAGCTATCTCTGGCGTGGGATTCCGTGCTCAACTGGCTTGAAGAAGAGGGTAAGAAGCTCGAAGACGAAATCTCCAGGATTTTTCAAGGGGTACATGATTCTATAGACGGTACGCCATTCCCCAAGCGTCCTCAAGGGTTAAAGGACTGGTGTCATTGACTATTGACTTGTCAGAGCAACGGGAGCTGGCCCCGGAAACTCTAGGAAACTTGCTTCTGAACCTCCGAATGAGACGGACGTGTATACTGGACGCTCTTCAATGCTCCATAGAACGTCTAATTGATGACACTGAGTATTGTGCACGAAATCGTATGCTACTATGAGAGGTGAACTAATTTGATTTGCAGAAATATCATGGATGACACAGTGGGTGGACACGCGAGCTCATATATTGCGGGTGTTATGCGTCCAGTCTATAACCTTTGCATGGAACAACGTGGTATGCTATCTCTCTCATCTTCCAGTCAAACACATTTTCTTTTGGCGCTAATGCAAAATGGCTCGCATAGGAACGGGAAGTGATTCGCGTCGGAAGCAAACCATGAATCGTCATCTCAGCTCACGTAGTCTGTTCCAAGACTTCGCCGACAATATTACTCTTGACTATGAAGAAATGATCGACGAAGCATTTGAACAGTTAAATCAGAGGCTCAGCGAGGAGGTTGCTCATATTACCCGAGATTTACATGCTACGGTCACTGTGGAGGGAGAAATCTCTGAAGCCGGAGAGAATCCCGAATGTACAGAAGGAGTTAAGCGAAGGGTGGAAACATGCCAAAGGGCCTTGGCAAATGCTCAGGCGACCGTGCAAGGGCTGAGCTGAGAGAGTGACACGAAGGGGTTCATACGCATCCCATCGGCTAGTAGTGACAGGAGGAATAAATTGTTGTTATATACTACGCTTATATAGAACACATATATATATGATTTGAAAATAGTTAGGTTTGGTCTTTTATTCTGAACTGGAATTTTTATATAACTATTTATATTGGAATTGCGGCTGAGTTGAATATACTTATGAACTTGAAGAGTTTATTGTTTAGTAGTCCTGCACAGGCGCAGTACAATATCTTGTAACAAAGTGTATAAGGTTCTAAGACAGATATGTCCGCACGTAACTGTATAAAATATAATAGTAAATATACCTCTTCGTTCTACAGGTCTACCTTCATTTTTCATTTTAGCCACGAAGTTATACCACCGCCTCAAGCAGCATAAGCATGATGCTTCCTCCGAGGGAGCAGCACCCATATAGCGATTAATGCAATCAATAATGCGAGGACGAATGGCTGCAGGCTTTGGACACCGCGGGCCCCGGATATGGCACCTGCGACAAAGGGCAGTCTATTGCCGGAGCGGAAGATTAGCAAGGGAGGTCAAGCAGCAATAGGTCGTGGACCATTGTAAAGTAAGGGAGGTAGACGTACATTGCTCCGCCCCCGCCAGCCAACGCCGACGCAAGTCCGATTCCAGGGGTATGTAGGTGCTTAGGGAGCAGCTTAGCCGCCACAACAATGGCTGCGGGAAAGAGAGGGCCAGTGAAGAAGCCGAGCAGTGAGACAGCCACTGCGGACACGATGAACTGGGGTACTAGCCAGAAGATAAGCTCTAGGGCGATTGAAATGGCTAGATAAATGCTGATAGCAATTCGCTCTCCTTGATTGCAGTCAGTATTTATGTAGTAAGGCCTTGATAGGGGAAGGGGAAACATGCCTAGCCAGTCGTTGACAAAACCGAGAACAAGACGGCCCACGGTGACACCAGCCCAAAAGCCGGTTGGAATCAGACCCGATTCGTAGGGCTCGCCATGACGGACTTGGACCATGAAGTCCACGACCCAGCCACCCACCGACACTTATCAGATTCATTCATCAGTTTGGTCATTCGATTTAACGATCTGGTAGATTGGCGCACCTTCAACTCCCATGTACACAAATAGCCAGACGGCTATCAGCCAGGTAATAGGACTCTTCATAGCCTCTGTAGTTCTGCTTCCACCGCCACTATCCGAGCCTCTGTGATTCTTGGCTCTGTAGCTTGCCGCATTTTCTCCCCAGAATAGAGTAGAGCTCACCATTAGGTCTAGAATGGATGCGCCAAGTAGTGTGTAGTAGAAGTAGTTCCAGCGAAGACCCGACTTGATCATCTGAGTCCCAACCAGTGGACTTATGGTTGCCCTGCAGTGGTCCTTAGTATTGCTAATTGATGGTCAGAGGTCTTGTCTATAGCCACATACCCAAGACCATAAAATGCTTGTAGGACCCCCATCATAGCATTCGCGTTGGCCATATCAGCGATCCAGGAATTCCATGCCGCGTCGATGAGACCATTGCCCAAGCCAACAATTACGTAGACAGCTAGCATTGCTGGCCAGGGTGGATGAATGGCCATAATCGCATATGGACTGATATGGCATAGGGGACCGATAATTGCTATACCCCGCTGTCCAAGCGTCATGTGAATCTTGTTGACGATGAGCGTGGCTATCGTATATCCGGCAAATGGGGTCACGAAAATAAGAGAGACCACGGTGGTAGACAGGTTGTAGTCTTCGCGAAGCTACTTGACTTTCAGCTACTTTCTGATCAAGGAATTAAACCTAGCCGATCAAACTCATACATATGGCACGAGTGCCTAACATGAGTGATTAGTTTGTCATTTCTTGCTGATGCGGGGGTTCACTGTAGGAGAGCTCACTCCGTAAACACCATCATTTGCTCCCACAACCGTGAAACTGATGAATGTAGCCAAAAGGCGCCATCTATTGATGGGAGGATCATTCCACTTTTGCTTCTGTTGTACGATTGCATCTTCGGTGCTCGGCCCGAATGGTTGGACTGGGTTCTGTGACTCCTGTTGTCCCTGCGAAACTAGCTCAATTGTGGTTGTTGACATGTTGTACTTTTAGAGAGGAGAAAGAATAATGCAGTGAAGGAAAATGAAATGAAGATTAGTAACGTTGCTTTGTGGTTGATAAGTACCTGCCACATGTGATCACGGACGCTTCCCCCGCCTTATGAGCTAAAAACTGCCTTTGACTGGCGGTTGTTATGGGGCAGACCCACCAGGGAAAAAGCATTGGAGAGTCGCAGAGGCCAGCCAAGTGTCTGTGCTGCATCTCGCCCTTGGTTGGACATTTGACATGTTGATTTCCTGCCTATCGTAACGATGATCCTATCCAAATGGAGCAACTCGGAATATACTCCATCAGACAGGCGGTCTGGGGACACTTTGCATGGCCCTTCCTGAATAGGATTAAATCATCACAGGCAGTTATGATGCTTAATGGAAGATGGGAAATCAAACTAGGTTTATGAGATTGGAATATTATATTCCGATAGTCGGTAGTCAATAGTCGGGCTATATTGGTCAGATTCAAGCTTCCTGTGTCCCCACTGCACGGATGGCATTTGTTTCACAACCACATGCTCGAACTTATCTGACTTCATGAGAACGGTTGCACAAAGTTGGAAACTGTGATGGACTTATGTCGGTATACTGTTGAATATTGATATTCCATCGTCAGTAGATCTAAGTAGTTGTACTGCGATGGAAACTTTGTTGGACTTTGGCATGGTACGAAATCATCCCGAGCGCTGGTAGTTTCAACTCTTCTCATGTCCAATATGAATCAATATATATTTCACAGATATTCATGACATTATAATGGTTATCCAGATAATATGGTCTATATGTTCAACAGCCTCTTCACTTCGTCATCTTCCAAAAGTGCAGCATGGTCCCTTCTCAATCTGGCCGGATCATTGGTCTCAAACCAAAATGCCCACGTACTCTGCGTATTGATGTCAAGATTGTTCCGGCTGGACTTCAATCCCACATGCTGCAGCTGAGGCGGTGCCAGAGCATATCGAATCAACTGGCTCTGATCAGCGTATTCCTCTATCATGGAATCCGTCTGACCATGTACTCTGGCAGCCAGAAATTCGATAAGACCATCCACACTCTCCCTCGGAAACACCAAGCCCTGAGTGCAACATCCAAACTCGTTCATCTCAACAACCCCTTGAAGCGGCATTAAATTGTATTTCCCGGCCATGTATACGAGCGCGGTGAAGGCTGGAACGCACACCATAGAGATAACCACGATGCTCAGGGTGTCAAGGTGAAGTCGCTCAAAGCGAGTGCGCCGAAGCATAATTAAGGATGAGAATGTAGATAGCATGAGAAGGCCGAATATCAGGGGCATGTTGCTGTACGCCATGTCGGAGTCGCTCCACCCCAACGAGGTTTCTGTGTAGAAAAGGCGGAGGTATAACCATGGATTTTCTGGTTGTTGGTTCCGTTGGGGAATGTCGGATAGTGCCTTCAAAGTTTTCGTAAACCACCCTGTGGCAAGGATGATGTCGTCTTCGAAAATAATCGTGTAGGGAGCATTTGCTTCTTGGCAGGTTCGGAGGGCGTAAATATAGTCGCTGCACATTGTTAGCTGGCTTGGTCCTGGAAGCAGATGGATTTTAACCAAGGTTTAGAAGCATATTCATAAACTCACAAGACCCCCTTCTCATAAAAGTTCTTATCCCTCTCCAGATCCTGCAAGTGCTGCAATTGCTCTTCCGACACATTATAAGTATCCGCTGAATCCACGAGCCTGCCCACCCATTTCTGATCCCAACTAGGATGCACTCTCGGGTCTGTATCGGCAAACAGGATACTGAGGTACAATGCTTGCCGCTCTCTTTCATCCAATCCCTCCAACATCGAGCCAACAGATGCTTCGAAATAATGGTCCGAGTCTCGTCGAACGGTGACCATGGCAATACAAGCAGTAGGTGTGCCTCCACTCTTCACGTAGTCTGGTGGATCGATGGCCGAGTTGTGCTGCGAGATAAAATGCCAGGCTTCACGCTCACGATGGAGGCTGTAATCCAGTTCGTAGACATGGCGATCTTGGAAGAAGGCAGAGTGTGGATCACGCCAGAGGCTGATTCGGCAATAGTAGAATATTAGGAGCCAGACGAACAGGCTAAGGATGAAGATTTTCGATGCGCGCAGCTGGAGATAATAGGGGGGATGTGTGAGAATTTGCTGGGCGGCTTTCTTCAGAGAGCTTGGAAGCATTGTCTCGTGGTGATTGTAGGAGGAGGGGAGACGGGGAGCGAAGCTCGGAACAAGGCTATAACATTAGAACGGTGGCAGCTGCATTTGCTAGGATTAAATGGATTTCTAAGTTCAAAGTAGGCAGACAGCGCAGGTAGCAGCATTTAGTAGCAAACAATCTCCTCTTGGCAATTAGCGTAGTCATGTATGAATGATGCGCCCTAAGGCACTGTTACGGCCAAAAGGCTGAGAAGGCTATCGGTACCCACACCACTATAGTTCACCTACGGACTCAGGTATACAGGGGCAGGAAGGGTCTACATCCCTGCAACTAGTAACTAATCACAGAGTCTTATCAACTCAGCACATAAGCGCCTAGCACGCAGCTCCACCGTCTGTTCGTCGATTTGATTGACCCACCACCCACGGAAAGTCCGCGTCTCGAGGACAAAGTGAGACATACAGAGCTAGTTGTGCATTAGTGTGTCAAGTCATTGACCGAACCATAGTTGGTAGAGGCCGGCGCATGTACCGCGCGACTTGGCATTAGTAAAACCGATGATTTGAATGACGCATCGTTCGAGAGCTAGGCGTTGGTGGTTATAAGCAATTTGATAGCAATGAACTGGCGGCACGAACCGAAATTGAGCCGACCCAAATAGTGTAGGATCGAATGATCCTCTATAGATCCGTGGTTTCTGACCAGTCCCCCCAACAGTATTTAGCTCATCTAAACTCCAAAATCTTCCGGTAGCTGTCGAATGTAATCAATGAACCAACTTCGCCATCACCCTCACCCCTTTAGACCCCATCTTCGGCATGGCGACTTGATAATCATACAGAAACGCCACATCATCGGCATCGGTTTCGAACAGTGTCATGTCAAATTCACGAACCAGGGCTGCGACCACAAGATATAGCTCCGCACGCGCGAGTTCCATCCCAAGGCACTTTCGCCCTCCCTTATTGAACGCCATCTGAAACCTTCGTCGCTCCTTCCCAGCATCACCGAGCCAACGTTCCGGGTCAAAGACAAAAGGATCCGGAAAGACGGCGTCCGCGGTGTGTGCACTCAGAGTCGTGGTGCATATTGGAGTGCCTGGCGGTATTGTGTACGACTTGCTTTTGGTGCTGGGTGGACAGGTCGAGGAGACGTACGAGGAAGGCGTATAGGTCAGCGGCTCGAAAGCGATACGTGCGGACCGAGCCGTGACGCCAAAAGAAAGCCGATTGCCTTCCTCGATTACTGCAGATAAATACGGAAGTTGCTCGAGCTGGGTCCATGAGGAGGGTATAGGGACGGCACGGAGCTCCCTGCGAAGCTTCTCGAGAAGTGTGGGGTTGGCAAGGAGATGATAGAAGATGATATTAAGTGTCTGAGCTGGCGATTCAGTTCCCGCTAGAACTAGCAGGGCTCCTTCTTGCTGCAACCGGAGGGGCATTTTCTCTGAGGCTGGCAGGTTTGGGTTGTCCAGTAATGAATCAAACACTGACTCTTTGCCGGTTGGTCCAATTTTGTTCTTGACAGCTACCCCTGATTCTTTACCCTTTGTGATCATGAAAATCTCCTCACGAACGCGCTGCATTGAAATGTTAGAGTTGGTATATATTCTCGGTGCGGAGTCTCACGTCAAATAGGGCAAGCAGATCAACAAGGCCTGGAGGCATCATTGGGCGGCTTATAGACATAGGGAGCGACTCCAGGAAATCGGGGATTTGCGGAAAGTGCTTGTTGATATTGATCCCCATCAAGAGCTCTTTGCTGTTTTGGCGGAGGATGGCGGCTTTCGGTTTGCTTGCAAGTACATCTGTCCGGTGTGCGAAGAGGAAGTTGTTGACAACACTGGGCAATTAGCCTCGATACCGAGTGAATGACGGGTCAACCTACTCATTGGAGAATGCGAAGAACGCGTCTGACAAGTTGACTGGGGTGCCTTCGGCAACATGGGTGGATATCAATTGCTTTAGCTGGTCTACTTTGTCTGAGATCAACCCCTCCATGTGCAAAATGTTCTTTTTACTGAAGAAGGGCGCAAGAGATTCTCGACGGACTTTATGCAGGTCATGGTCGGTGGTTGTGCCCAGTCCTCCTGGGACGCGAAGGCTCCTCAGCTGATAGCCATACTTGTCCCTTCTGGTCATTGAAGGGGCGTAGATAGTGTCCAAAAAGCCGACGTCATTAATGTGAACCTCATCTGGGGTAATACGGATGATTGGGCCTACAATCGTCAGTGGGGCTCACACATGAAGCAGAGCTTAACATACCATATCTTGTGTGAAGCTCCTGTATCTTGAACACATATTGACCAGGCTGAATAACGTCAAAATAGAACTCATACCACCATGTCAGGGCTGCAAGGCGGGGGCCGGGAATATGGGCTAAGGGGTGGAAGTAAAGGCGACGGATAGCTTCACTTGCCGTCCAAAGTACGGACAGCAAGACAGCGACCCCAAAATTCCAGAGCAAGGACATGATAAACGTTCAGAATCAGAGTACAAAGTAGAGATGGGGATTTGGAATGGTGACAGTATGTCAAACAAGAGATAAGAGTGGGACAAACAGAAGCCGGCTTAGGGGTGGCTTTTGAACATAGCCTCTCTTTGTGGGAGAGAGTGACCAGGATCATCCCGGCGTGTAACTTAAATCCAGTCAGCATGCTTATCACCGCCTTCAGCTGCAGTGCTACAAGGTATACACACACATCAGGCAGAGAGTCAAGGGAGCACTGAATCCATGGCTTTTATTGTTGTCTTGCTCCAGCCTTTACCTCAACACGATTCCTCTTCCGTTGTCGATGGAATCCCAAGAGCACCCTTATCATCATGTCACGAACATACGCAACTCCCGCTGCACTCATTACAATCTCTATCCTCTTCCCTGTCTTGGGGACCTTGACGGTGATCCTTCGCTTTTATACCAGAAGAAAGACAAAATCTGTGTTGTGGATTGACGACTGGTTGACTCTGCCTGCACTGGTAAGTGACATGCACCCTGAGGCCTTGAAGTTCAATCATATTAACTCGTTTAGGGGCTGGAATATGTACTCGCAGCACTCCTGCTTTGGGGAGTAACAGCAGGATCCTTAGGGGATCTTCTTTCCCAGTCTAATGATGACTCAAGTCCAGATGCCTCCATCTTCTCAACCTCAGATAAACAAACTAAACTTCTACAGGTTCCACTCACATCGGTTAATACAACTTCAAGTACTAATGCATTCCAGATCCAGTATTTCGCTGACATAGTGACTGTCCTCGCATTCGGTTTCACGAAGCTGAGCATTCTCTACTTCTACCGCAGCATTTTCTGCAGCAGACGGACTATCCGGACTGCCTTTCACTCTGTGACCATGTGCATGATAGTGCTAGTGTTAGCTTGGACTATAGTATTTGGTTTTGGCATGATCTTTATCTGCGGTGTACATCCCGATTACGCCTGGGGTACTATTGCAGTCGTTACAACCGAATGCAGTTTACAGGTCCCGCTCCTCGAAGGATATGCAATTTCTGATTTTATACTGGACGTGATCATCTGGCTGCTACCATTGCCACGGGTAAATATCATATAATCTAACGTCCACAAATCCTCCAACTGACCCCGCCATAGATATGGTTATTGAACATCTCAGTCCGCCAAAGAGTGGGACTTGGACTGGTATTCCTCGTTGGCCTCTTGTAAGAACACGGCACAACCCCTACAGATGTGTGATATGTGCCTAACACTATTATAGGGCAATCGCAGCATCTGCTACAAGAATGGCTATCTACATAGCTCATCTTGCTAATCCATTTGCCGAAACAGACGGGGAAAGTACGAAACCACACATACACACACCTCCACGGCTGAAGCTAACGATACAGCACTCGTCACATACCTCCTGTTCTGGACGATGGCCGAATGCGGTCTCGGTGTCATTGTTATCTGTCTCCCTCCCCTACGCCCAATGTATAGCAAGATCGGGTTAGGCTCGTATATCAGCAGTCTCAAAAGGTATCTGTACAGAAGAACCAAGTCGACAACCTCGAGCACGGTTCGACTTAACAACCTCAATAGCTCGGTAGTACCAAGCTCCCCTAGTCTGAACCCTATTCAAGCATGAATCAGTCAATCAGCCCGCATGCTGGTCGACAGCCCACTGCGCCTTACCAGCTGCAGCCTAGGCGGTGGATGCAGGAATACATATTTACATGGCACCTACTAGTCTGACACGTAGCTATGACCGTTGAGGGTGGCGTTGCAACATGCATGTAATATAGGCAGTGTAACAGAAGCGTCGGACTGATGGTCAGATGTGCGGACGCGAGGATCCTGTTTCATACGAGCTCACTTACTATACAACCTTTGAGAAAAGCACATGACAGTAAAAGGACTATAGCATACAAAATAAGAATAATAAGGAAGTAAAACTAGCCATGCCTTCTGAATCTATCAAACCATCCCTCGTCGAAATTGAATGTTTCATCCGAGTTAGTACGCCCGACTCCCTGTTCCTTCGCGCCCTGGATACGCACCACTCCCAGCATGTATGCCTTCGGTAGTTCGATGGTGCAGCTTGGGTTTGTCGCATCGCTGATCCACAGTCCGCCAAAGGAGTTCCCTGTCCCGACCTCGTGTACCCCAACCGCATTATGCTCAGATCCTACTATTGGTATAGGTATTAGACAGGCAGAGCGTATTGCCGGCCCTGACATCTACCATGTAGTGGCATTGCCCATATCATGCTCCTGTTGGAAGATTATTAGCCGATCTCGCTTGCGTCACAGCGAGGAATTTTCCGGTGCTTACCTTGAGATATTCGCTGCCCTTCTCCAAGTATTCCTGCCGAGTGATCGAGGATTTGGCCAACTCTGACCCTGACGCCCACTGCGCAGCACCCTTCCATGCGTCCAAAACCGGGTCATTTGCACGCCGGACGTTGAGTTGGGCGTCCACGGGGAGGTACGCGCGGAAGTCGTTGCGGAGACGTTCGTCGAAGTTCTTGAACATGGTGTTGCCACCCGTAAGGAAAACGTCGCGCAGCAGTTTCGATTGCTCCTCAGGGTTCGGGAATCGCTGGTTCACAATATCGGCAGCGATCTCCAACAGGCCGGCTTGGTCAACGCCCGCAATTGACGGCTTGAACACCACCTCGGGAACGCGGATTCGCTCCACGTTCAGGTGCAACTGATGAGCCTCACGTTGGCTCTCGGGATCAAAGGGCCAGGGGCCCCGCAGGAAGACGTGCACTAGGCTCTTCGTCCAGTCGGATTGCGCGGCGAGCGTGTGGTTCTCTGTGAATTCGGGGTCGTACTCGAGTAACTCCTTCTCAACTGTATCAAGCATGCCTCCAAGATCCTCCTCTTCCTCCTCATCACTCTGTTCACCCGTAGCCACCGTTCGATAGACACCCCAGTCTTCGTCGTTGGCACCGAAGGTGTCATCATCCCCGCCACGCCTCCGCTTCTTGGGACCATCCGCAGCGAGGTTGGCGAGGGTCTTCATGCGCATCTGACTGGCTAATGACTTGCGGTTGCCAAGATCCGCCTTCATCCTGTCACGTTCCTTGATCTTCTGCATGATGTTCTGTTGTGTGGAAGGGTTAGATATGCCATTATCAGTGCGGGGAACAATCATACCTGACGGTTTGCTCTGCGTTCAGCGAGCCAATTTTCGAAATCGTTCTCGCGCTTCTCACGGTCGAGGCGTTCCTCCTCTTCCCGACGAGCCTTTTCGCGCTCTTTCTCTGCCTTCGCGCGTTGTCGAGCTTCAACGTTGGACTTCATTAGTCGCTGATGGCGCTTTTCCTTCAGACCAGCTTCATCCAGTTCTTCATCCGGGACGTCCAATAACGGGAACGACATCTCCTCTTGGGGCTCTTCGGTTTCTTCGATCCCTAGGTCCCGGTTCCGGGATCGTTTGATGGACCGCTCAAGATCCCGAATCAATCGATCTAGATGGGCTTCATCCTTCAGGTCCTCCGCTTCGAGAATGCGCCTGGCTTCCTTCTTCGTCTCCGAAGCCAGTCCGTTCTGAAGGTCCTTGTAGTACTCCAATTCCTGCTCCTTCTTCATCAATTTCTCTAGTCGCATCTTAGCCGCCTGCTCCTGCAACCGACGCCCACTCTCCTTCTTCCTCTCGGCAATCCGGGCGAGTTCTTCCTCGGTCTTTTCGGGAACAACATGTTCCGTATAAGGGTACTGAACGATGCAGTCTCGCTCCTCCAGCCCCGTCCAGTCCAGATAGTGGCTCAGCTCTTGGTCGTAGTCCTTGGAAACGTAGCAATGCTTGTGCACAATGTCTTCCATCTGGCTCTCTGTCATCCGCGCAGGGAAAGTCGGGTACTTCAGGCGCATGAGTTTTAGCAAGTATTCCGATGCGTGCAGTCCACCCCAATTCAGTCGCGAGCAGTTGGATAGCAAGGCCTTGTTATTCAGCACGGGAATTACATGCGTTGATGTGTGCGAAGACGAGATGATGAGTCCGTCCTTTCCGCGGTTGTACCGATAGGAGAACAGGGAGTCGATTCCGTAGGCGACCGATGGCGCGGAATAGCACTCGAACAGAATTTCGTTCATCACTAGCAAATCGTCAGCAATGCCACCATTGTACCCCCAAGCGATACAACTTACTCCTTCTGGGATAGGCGAGGTTCGCGATCGGCTCAGTCATGACAATCGGCCTATCAACACCTCCATTGGCACCATCAACTCCCAGCTTGATGAACAGATAGTCCAACACCCCCTCCATAACATCCCAGTTACCCACCACACTCGTGCCAGGGTCGAAGGCATAGCGCAGCTGACCGCGCGTAGTCGCATCTACATAGGAGTCGTATCCGATGAATTGGCAGGCTTTGTTGAGCTTCCGGTCGCGATACCGGCTCATCACAGGAGGAAGCACGAATCGAGGGGATTTGTCGAACGACCAACCGGCTTTTACCAAATTCGAGCCTTCAAGTCAATCGCAAAAGTCAGTAGACTGTACACACTGCAGTCTCAAGCCAGGTCCTTCACTCACCATTATCAATAACTATGGCGCTAGTACTCTTGCTCTTTTCGTATCCTTCCGGTTGAGGGGGGTGGTAGCCTTTAAATGGATGGTCTTTCACGTGGTAAGGTTCCGGGGGAGGCTTTTTGGCACCTTTCTCGGTCGAATTGATCGTGAACCGGGTCGGTAGAACCGGCTGGATCGAGGTGATAGCCATGGTGGTTGGACGCAGGCGCTCTTAGCAGCAACTTGGAAGCTTCCAGGTAAAGACCGCTCACTGCATTGCAGTGAGTGTCGCAAGGGTTAGTGCACCAGTTACCCACTAGCTGATGATAGATGCGCGCTGATAAGGCTGTCAGAGATAGGATGACGCAGGTTGCGGTGGTGTTGGTGATGAGGGAGGAAAGGAAATGGGAGCTTGAAAGTTCCCCAGCTTTGGTCGGGGCCGTGGAGGCCTCTCCGGCCACCGCCAGCGGCGCTCGTATGCCGCCAAGCCGCTCACTCCATGCGAGTAACTATGCCTCTTTACGGAACCTAGCAGTCACACTTGGCTGTCTCTACTTGGTCTACTATGCATTCGAAAATAAGGAATAAGTGAGATTCAGTTTTATTTCAAATGGAAATCATGTCTTCATTATCAAATAACTAGGAAACACTGGTGGGTATCAAGAACTGGACGACGAGGATGACGGGTCTTTCAGATTCTCCGTCGCTAATACTGGTCAGCCAAACTCAACTAAGAAATCAATGGAAAACTACCTTCTAAATGGAATAGAACGTTAGACTGGTAGTTCTTGAACATCTGTGCGACAAGCTCGACGTTCATGTTCTGGATATTGACCTCCTAATATAGCCCATCAGTACTCTATCATCATAGCGGAAAGCGAGCAAATGCGCTTACCTGGAGGCTTCTGTTCATCACCATGATTGACTCATTTAGTTTTTCCTGGAGCCGATCAGCTATGGCAACTCAGAATGCCTTCCGGTTCACATACAATGTTGCCGATAATGCGAGAGAGCAGTAGGGCCTGCTGGTGCTCATGTGGACTTTCCTAGATATGATATTAGGATCACCTTACTATTGCTAGATCTTCCAGTGCACTGTATTGCTCACCATCTTTGCTGTCTAGTGTATTTCGTGGATGAATTGTTGACGTTGTGTTTGTTTGTTGCTTCTTTGGATTCACGGCAACCCAAGATACGCTGCCACGTGACTGATACCGAGCTGGGAACTGGTTGGAGGGTTCACTATCCAAACATCAGGTCTCCAAACTTGGCTCATTCTCTATCTTCACTGTTTCTTTCACTCTATTTCTGGGCGAACAGTAACTATAACTGCGCCATCTGACCATCAGCATCGTCGACATCGGCGCGCATCGTGCATTCTAGTTTCACAACTCGGAGCAAGGCTCGGACGTGGGAGAGCACCACCATACGCCCAGTCCGGCATTATCAACCAAACCTCCACCACTGGACCAAGACACCAGCTTCATCCTTTCAAACTAGAACCTCATCCGCACCTCAACGCTCCATCATCACCATGGCTCCTCTTACCCCCGCCGAACAGGAGAATCACCAAGCGCTTCTCGATCGTCTCGACATCGCGGCAGTCTCCCGTCCGTTCCGCAATCCGAATTGGAAGCCATCGCAGCGTCGCAACAAGAACGTCAAGCAGCTTATTTCTGAGAGCTCGAGGAAGGAGGCTTCTGTCATGGCAACACAGTCTAATTCTGGCGCAACCACCCCACTCCCAGCTACGTCCGCCAGCACCGACGGCAGCCAAACCCCTGCCGATGGCACACCTCGAACGAACATCGCGCAGGCCGCGCAGAACCTCTCGACACTGGTGCTGGAAAAGAACGCACGAGCTGCGTTTACATCTGGACCTGCCGTAACCTACACGAACATCGAATCCGCACCCTCATTGCACCCGTCGCAGCAAACCCGCTACTGCGATATAACAGGCCTGCCTGCTCCATACACAGATCCTAAGACGAGACTGAGGTATCACGACAAGGAGGTCTTCAGTGTGATTAGGACACTTGGTCAGGGAGTGCCGGAGAGCTACTTGGAGCTCAGGGCTGCCCATGTGGTTCTTAAATAAACGATGCTATGATTTTGCTAAGGAAATGTTTGTTCTACACTGTAAGATATCAGGGTAAGTTGCCTTATCATTGCGACGATTATGCGTCGGACTTCTAACTAAGGTCAGGCTAGATAGCAGCCTAATCTAATACGCGATTTATGTACGGCCAACACAGTCAAGCCCTTTCCACCCACCATGCCCCTCTCGAGACAGGTTCAAAGAAAACGCTCCGGCTTATTCGTGACCTTATTATGAAAGTTTATCTTCGCCTTGTGCAAGATGCACTCGACTAGTACCGAAGCTCCAGGAACCGGAACATCAGTTACAGCATCCGAAGATGCTGTCGCCGCGGCGTGAAATGAGTTGAGCCCAAAGGCTCGCCAGGTATATACGGGCAGAATAGTTGCAGTAATAGAGTCGCCGATTGAAGTCATCTTGATACCTCAAATCACCGTAGGCACCCCTTTCGTAGAAGCATTGCGTGTCTCCTGCATCGCCGCATCAATAATATCGTAGAAAGGTTGCACATTAGAAGCTGACAAGGGGTCCCATCATCAGAGACACTAGTCAATAGCATGCAATCCGAGTGATATTGTCGACACGCATGGTCCTCCCACGATGGTAAACATCAGAAGGTAGAATCGGTTGAGAAGTTGAGTTGAGAGAGCCGAAAATAGCGGGCTGTGCGAATGTTGTTGATCGCCTGACCGCCATCCGAACGCGGAATAGCACAAACCTAGCCAAGAAAGGGACGTGGCAGAATTGGGAATTTTGCGCAGCAGCCGCAGTTGGTTCCGTGTTTACTCGCATTGCTGGCGCCTGTACTTCAAGAGTTTCGTGAATCTTCCCGGACGAGTGCCTATATATTGGCGTGCGATATCTTCATCCTTTTCAATCTCTAGTCATTTGTGGGTTTACCGCCTCCTCGTCCATTCCACGATATATAGTGCCCCGTGCACGCGATCTCCGCAAGCCCCCGAATCCCCGAGCGACGAACGCATCGCATCGTTAGGAGCTATAATCCACCTCGAACATTTCTAGTTTCAGTCCTCGACGTATTATTTCCAACTTTTATATCAGTGCGCGCGCTTTTCCATAGAATCCGAAATCAGCCAATATGCCTACAATGTGGCTATCCGATAACCAGAGTAAGCAACGCCTATTTTGCACGCTTCGCACGAGATCATATCCGGATCATTGGCTAACGCACGTCCTTTCTACAATAGAGATCGGAGTTATCTTCTGCTCAGCTGGTATGTCTACATAACATGCTTGCAGCGAGAGCACAATGCCTACATCACCGACCGATCGATACACATACTAACGATGTCCCCCAAACAGGAGGCTTGTTCCTCTTCGGCGGAGTCCTAATGTTCTTCGATCGATCACTGTATGTCCATATCCACCTACCCATACATATCCAAAACACACAATATAACTAACACAACCAACACCATAGACTGGCAATGGGAAACGTACGCTACCCCTAATGATCCCACCTTACTCTCCTCTCCCGACTTGATGACCAAACCCAACTAACCCAACCCAAACCATACACAGATCCTCTTCCTCATCGGCCTAACCCTAATAATCGGCCTCGAAAAGACCTTCGCCTTCTTCTCGCGCCGGCAAAAACTCAAAGGCACCGCCGCCTTCGCCGCCGGAATCCTCCTCATCCTCCTCCGCTGGCCGCTCACCGGGTTCATAATCGAATTGTACGGTCTCTTCATCCTCTTCGGCGACTTCCTGATCACCATTGGCCAGTTCGCAGGGAATATCCCCGTCGTGGGACCGTTTATTCAAAAGGTTCTGGAGACGTTGGCGGGTGGAAGGAGGAATGCGGAGTTGCCTGTATAGAGGGGACGTGCCCTCGTTTCCTTCTTTGAGGGTGTTGGGGCATGGGTGTGAGTGAGGGAGGGAATGATTTTTTTTTTTTTTGATAACGATGACGATGATGATGGAGGGATCTTGACATGTTCATGTGTATGAATAGTTATGTGGCATTAGGGTTTACTTTCTTTGTTTTTTCTTGTTACGAATATTTGCATGATGGAATGGGATGGGTATGGTGTGGTGTGCTGTGGTATGGTATGGACTAATACCTATCGTTAGTTGGTCTGGATGCCATGTCTACCTACTGCTACTTACTACTTCTGGATGAGCGGGGTGGTGGTGATGGTGGTGGTGAGGTTCGCTTTTATAATAGGGCTATTATTATGCATTAGAGACCTTTTAATTGTTAATATATCTTTTCCGATGAGGGGAGTTACCATGATCTTTGGGGGACAGTCTTTCTTGCGAAGTTCGGTCGTGTGGGTTGTGATATGATAATTAAAAGCTAATTTGAGATTACCTTATTGTGCATGCTGCATAGATCGGAGCTGTCATAATAACAGAGTGGCCGGTGATATCATTCGGAATGCGGGACAGATGTAAACGCTAGATAGCTTTGGGCTGTTAACTTTCTTTCCTGAGCATGTGAAATGGCCGGTCTGGACTTCCATATCAATAAAGGCTCGCTCGAATGGCTTTACTTATAGCACATAATGTACAGCTATGAATCTACGAGTAGTAATAAATGCCAATTGATGCGAAGAATACCGGAGAGAGAAAAGACAATCGAGAAAAGGAGACCACCATGATGATTTACATTTAAATAACCAGTATTACCGACTGTCCCTTGCTCAAGGCGAGACAAAACACAATTTCATTCTGCTTTTAAACCCATTCACCGGGGGTTGTTGATGTAGTCAACGAGGTTCTCGACCACGGTAGCGGCATTCGTGGTCTGGGCGTTCTCAGCGTGGTGGGCGACCATGACGCAGGAGACGGCCTTGACGACGACGATACCCTCCTTGCCCTATTTGTTTCCACAAGTTAGTGAAATGTGAATATTTCAAGGGATAATAACTGCGGAGGCAAAGTGTGCGTGACAGTACCTTCTTGCCGTACAGACTGCGGTCGTCAGCCTTGATGGTGACGAACTTCTCTCCGCCAACGGTGATACCGGTACCAAAGGCAGAGTTGGGGTCCTTAAAGGCAGCGACAAGGCCCTGGAGTTCTTGAGGGGAGATCTGTGATTGTCGTTAATGCTGGGTTCGTGCTGGTGAGGCGCTGATTTGGCCGTGGGGTCACGCCGATCAAATCAGCGGCTGTTGGAGAGCGTGTCATACCGTGAAGCCGGGAGAGCCAGCCTCAAGGCCGGAGAGGTCGTGGCTCAGAATACCGGCCTTGTCAAATTGACCAGATCCCATCAAGCTGAACGGCCTCGCGTCAGAATTCCGATACCAACTTGGAGGGGCGGCAGTGGCCGAAGCGGGGTAAACATGGTTAGGCTATACGGTACCTGGAATCGACATATCCTGAGATAGAAAAAGAGAGAAAGTCAGCCTAGAACTCCCAAGAATAAAGTGCTATACAGAAAGAATGGAATGTCGCAGGAGCATGTTTTATCGTCATACCTTGCCAGATAGCGGAGTGCTGACCCATGGTGACGGTCGGATAAACAAATGACGGGACGGTCGGGAAAGGGGAATAAGTAGAGACGGATAAGCAGAGCAATCCGTAAGAAGAGTGGAACGTGGGGGTGGTAAAAGACTCCGGGCGAAGACTAGAAATCGACCAGGAGAAAGAGAAATAATGCGCTGGGGAGGGGAAGGTGGTAGTAGATAGTAGAGATGAGTCTCGAAGAAAGTTGGTGGGAAAGGAGGGGGAGAAGGAGACCGACGATGAGGTGAGTTTACTAAGAGCGGGCTTGGGTGGTTTGCTGCTGCTTTAGTTGGTTTAGTTTGCTTTTGGTGGGGGGAGGCATTGGTTTCCATTTGCTTTTTCCCAGCTGAGCATCTCCTGCTAGTAATTCCTGCCCCGCCAATTCCCGACTTTTCCTCATTTTCTCTACTTGTCGGTCACCGTAAGATGGATGGATATCTAACGTCTATTTATCATATGCTGCTACCTTATAGCTCTTCTTTGAACTTTATCCTCAGTACCAAGTGGTACATACCGAGATCAAACATCATATCGCCTCTTCTTTCCCTTCCGCTCACTACTACTAATGACCAGCTGTCATCTAATCTTTTTGGGGATCACTTTTATGGTACGTCTTCCTACGTCATCCCCCTAGCAACACAGAGCTGGACTGAATAGCCTCATTCTATCACTGTCTAGCTTAACCTTGGGATCACCCACCAAAGCTACGGTATGCGTAGAGAGTATCCAGGCGGTGGAGGGCTCAACGGCAGGCCGACTCCGTAGTTCACCCGCTTCAGTATAGGATAATTAGGATTAGTCCCCTACCGGTGCAAAACTAGACCCTGTTAGACACCCCAAGCATGTCCACTTTGCGGGCCTCTTTTCACCGGTTTCTCCTTACCGCCTCTTCCCTGTCTATTCATCCCTTATGCCTCTGCCATGCGAACAAAATTCATCGGGAGTGACTGTCACCTGCGAGCTGAGATGATATGTGGTGGGTTGACTGGGCACGTGCCTGTCATCGAGTCAGGTGCCGGGGATCATCTGCAGCCATCCGTCAGTCGCTTCTTTCCTATCTCCTCCTCACTCCTCGACAATTCCCTTGTCGATGACGGTGGATAGCGGAAACTCCCGTCCATCATAAATCTTTTCTAATGATGATTGATTTCAAATACTACACCATTCTCAGGCCATCAAGCCTTGCCGAAATAATAAAGAATCTAGAAACGCCATTCAGGAGATGGCTGGTCCGTGACTTACCTTAAGGTGAGGGCCGCGGGCCAGTTCCTTGGGCGGCCTCTTACTTTAATTTCCCCAGTGGACTCCTCTGTCTTATCTAGCGGGCCTCGTGCCTCAACGGGCTATCGCAATCTACTACCAAAGAGACTCGGAAAATTGCAACGTTCGGCTGCCGATAGAATACAGTCACGGTCGCACGAGCATCTCACGAAAAGGGTTTTCTCATCTGAGGCATCGGTTAGAGGATCCGTAACACCAAGGCCCTGAGAATGAGTCTCAGGCCTTGTGTGATCGCCAGGCGATTGAGATATTCACAATCTCATTGGTCGAGCGCACAGGGGTTTCAGAACAGCTGGAACCAATGATTCCAGCTGCGCCAACGCTCATACTTCCCAACTCGAGGTGAATCCGTCGGCCGGAGCCTCTCTCTTTGGCCCCTCGCCCGCGCTCGTAATTAAATGCGCCCGCAACATCCAACGCTGATTTGCAGCTACTAGAATAAGCGCCTCATGTGGTTCTCGATGGCCTTTACCTATTCCTAATCACAGAGCTGTCAAATTCTTGTGACTGGACGAATGTCCGTGTCCAGTGTTAGCCATGCGGGGATGCCGTGTGGTCTCTCCTGAGCAATTTCTCTGGAAATTTCTGTTGGCTGTTCTGCCGTCGCGCTTCGTCAGATCTTGCACAATGTTTTAATCTAAGCCCTCGCACTAGTTCGCCCCTGCCACACGTCTCACTTAGATGTAGCGCTCTGCCTAGTGCTCCACAATAACTGCCGCAACGTCTTAACTATGCTGCGCTGACCCTCTATCGCCCATTCTCCTTTTCTCCCCATCATGAACTGACTCTTTCCTTGTCTGAACTGCTTGCATTTCAATTTTGGGTCTTCTGGAAGGCCGTCCATTCCTTTGTCTTGAGATTTTGATAGAAACAGGGCTTGGCTCCCTCTAACGTTCTTTACTTTTTTATTTCACCCATCATCTTTTTCTTAGCAATACTCTGGAACTTCACCCTTCACTTTCACTTCCGTATTTGATATACAGGCAGTCGTGCACAATGGCTAGAGGGACGTTTCTAGGAAGGTCACGTACAATTAGGCAGGCGGAGGCTGGCTCTTCCCCAACATCAAAACACCCTGACGTGCTGCCACGGAAGGGCCAAAAGTGTATCGAGGATGGCGCAAATAACAGCCGCCCAGCGCCTCATCCAAATCGGAGCTTTCATCGCCCAGTGGTATCTGAAGGGCACCCGCAGAAGAGGTTGCAAGCCATGAGCCCTATCAACACCGAGGCTCCTCCGCTTCCCTCTTCCCCCATATCGTCACCCGTCAGCACCAATAATGACATGAATGGAAGTCTTATCGGCGTCGCGTTGGGAAGTCCTCGGATGATCGACCCGCAAGTTCCCACATCACAGATACAGGAGACGATTCCTGTCAAATCGGCAGAACCCCAAGCGCGACCATCGTTACAGCGCAAGCCAAGCAAATGGAAGAAGATTGGCGGCCTTTTCAAGGCCAAGGCTGCCATGACAGCCCCTCCAAATCAACCCTTCTATCAGGTCCGGCTCGAAAATGAATGGCCAATGCAAGGCTCGACCTATTCATTCGAGCAGCAGCCAAAGATCCAGACTTCAGGCCTCGAGAATCCTGCCAGTCCCACCACAGGCACGGACGCATGGCCCTCTATAGTACCGGAAGTCCAGAGTTCTGCGCAGGAACCGAAACAGACTCACGCAGATGCGACCAGTGGTTCGCCCCAGGAGAAGGAACAGTCTCTTGGATCCGGTCCCCTACTCCAGGTTGACATTCCTGACATTCAGCTGGAGCGATACAGCGTCATGTTTGGAGGAGTCCTCAAGAAGAACAGGCCATCTTCCATGAGTAGGCGCAGCAAGAATTTGGAAGATACGAAGCCTCCAGCAGAAGAGGTATAGTGTCTAAAAGTACATCTGGCTTGAAGATATCACTCATACTGACATAATATCTAGGACATTCCTCACTCGCCGGTTCCGACACGGTCGAAGTCCCCCAGTCCCAGTTTCAGCCTGTTCCCTTCGACCAAAACGAGCAAGGCCTCGAAGGTCCTGGGGAGTCAGAATATTCCTCGCGGTCCCAGCCCAATCCACAAGAGTCAAACATCCCTAGGGGAATCAAATCAAGAGAATCTGTCGGAAAAGAGTAGTGTGGTCCTGATGGTCCATAGCTCGCAGCCGTCGCATAAGCAACAGAACTCGGTGTCTTCATTCCTTTCTTCCACGACCATTGGTTCCGAGGATGAACGGCTCCTCTTGCAGAAACTAGGTCCTGTCCGTTCATACTTTGACGCAAGGGAACCAGAATGGGAGATCATCAACAAGAAGCCTACAGCAAAGGAACCCGTACGCGAGTCACCTCCATCATTAAGGATCGATACGCAGGTAGATTCGCCCAGAACGGCCAGCTATGCGTCCTCAACTTTGTCGGCATCATCAGACACGCCTGTCAATGCGCCCCGGCAGAGAAACGAGGTACCATCCCCTGCAAGCAGGCGAACCTCCCCCACCTCACCAAGACGCGAGCCCTCCGGGGACGCCAAAAAAGACAGCAACCCATCTGATCCAGAAAACCCCGTCCCCACCGTCGAAATCTCAATCGCACGATCCGTCTCCGTCTCGAAAGGTAAAAGGCAGGTCCTTGTACCTATCAGGCCACGGCCGGACCGTTTGGATCCCAATGAGCGCGTGGGCGATAAGAAGGGAAAAGCGCCCCAGGTTATGGCAGCTGATCGCAACCATCTCCCTGGACGATCACAGGAAGTACTGGTCGACACCATCTAAGCGATTAGTCTTGGGAAGTCGGTATGCTCATGATCACGTGCTTATTTTATGCTTCTTATATCAACATTTCAGTCTTTGTCATTTATTTCAACAGCGCAGGTAGCGTTCACCATTTTCATGTTCTTATCCAGCTAGGTGCACCAGAGTTGGTGGTATTTGGTTTTTGGATTCTTTTTCAGGTTGCATTTTCTTTTTCTCTTTGTGGCGGCTTACCCTGGTTCTCATGTTTGGTTTGTCTGCTTGGCGATGTATGTCAGGACATGAAACACTCTCCTGGAAATTTTTTACATATTCTGGACACTACCAACTACGTCAGAAATTAGGTTTACCTATATATATCTCGTCTGTTATCTTACTTGAACTCGAATATATCCATGCATCTATTCAGCTCTATGTACTAACATCTATCTATTTATCTCGTATTTTTGATCCCAACTGAACCCGACTCAACTCTTCTCAGGAAAAGCCGAAGACCCAGGCAAATTCTGAGTCCCAGATACCCCCGCATTCACCTCCACATCAGACAGCGTCCACTCCATACCCGGATACGAATCACTAACGACCTTGACCGTAACCCGCATGCTCTGACCCCTTACGTTCTCGGGGAACTTAACAGACGAGCGAACGACAAGCGGTCCGTTCCTGTTATCGTTAGGCTTTCTACTCGGCCCAGATCCGGAACCACCTCCGTTACGCTGATTCGATGACGATGGCCAAGAAACACGTTTTAGAGCCAGGAGCTCCCCATTTTTGCCATCGGAGGATGCGCCGCCACTGTAAACGAGCATGAAGTATCCTTCTGTTTGGGGTTTGGGGAACCGAGGAGCGTAGATCCTGTAGTCCCTGTCTCTTGGGGCGTTCTTGCGTGTCAAGGTCACGGTGAGACCGTTTGGAGTGATGGTTGGAATAGACAAGGAGAGATTGGGTAGATTGAATGCAGCTTTTGTGAACTGCGCGGGGAG